ATCTACAAAAGTAATAATAGCAAAATTGAGCTCTTACCATGTGCCAAGCCCCGTACTCAGCACTTACATACATTAGCTCATGTGATGGTCACAGTTACCACAATCAGTAGGTTATTTTTATTGTCCCCACTTTACATACGCAGAAAGAGAGATCTGGAGGGTAATTTGCCCCAACCCCATAGCTACTAAGCAGTGAAGCCGAAGTCCAGGTTCTTAATCATTATGCAATATTCTTATATGATGTTACAGCATAGAAGGAACTCAGCATATGTTTTTAGTTGAATGAAAGAATGAGCCAATGGAGGAAACACTGGCAAACTGATTCATCACTTCTATTAATACAGATAATAACATGTTAGCCTAAGTAAGACTTTGAACCTCAAACAAAACTGTCATTTGGTGAAAATATTGACTGTGACTTCTCCCTGCAGAGAACTAAGAAGTGTGAAATTCACACCTATGTAAAATTTAACACATCTATTACGGGCAATCATTAATAACTATCAGGAAGCAGAAAGGCAGTTTGAATAAACAAGTAATTAAAATTGTCAATGGAAATATTTTAAATGACTCTCTGAAATAATTTCTCAGTCTTTTTCTGTTTTCTCACATTAGCAAGTTCCTTGGCAGTAACATATGTTTACAATTTTTATTGCATTTATCTTCAGAGACATCACCATAAATACATATACACAAAAGGGTTCACGTCCACCGGCAAAGGTCCCAAACGTGTCCTGGCTCCTAAACTGCTCTCTTTTGTCTCCAGGCTTTTCTGCCAGTCTGCATCCCTTAATCTTCCTTAGGCAACACATTCATGTTGCTGTTCAACTGCTCAATGTCTTCAAACACTCCCTTTTCCTAGCATGTCAGATATAAATTCCTCATGCCCAGCTCTTAAGGCCTCCCCCCTCACTGCCTATGCTCAGTTCACAGGCTCTTCACCATTCCATAGATGCACAGGGCTCATTTTCACCTCTATACCTTCATGACTATCCCTCTGCCTAGAATGTCCCACACTTCTGCTTCAAATCTATTTACTCAAATCTTCACTATGCCTAGTTTAAGTTCCACTTCCTCATGGAACTCCTCTGACCACTCCTGAGTTTGTTAAAATCAAGACAGATCTGATCGTAATCTGTCTGGAACACCCACCTCTCAGATAACCCATGGTGCATCCCTGCTCTTCTTTCAGGTCTCCGCCCAAATGTGTTTATTCTGTTTGGCCTTCTCTGACCACTCTACTTAAAATGATACCACCTCCTCACCTCAGCACTCCCAAACTTCTTTGCCTGGTTTATTTTTATTTTCCTTCCTAACATTCATCACCATCTTGCATACTCTAATATTTACTTGTTTATTGTCAGCCTCCCTTCTGCCCAGAATGTAAGCTGCATTAAGGGCAGGGAGTTTTGTATGTTTTGTTACTGATTTATCTCTAGAACCAAGAATATTTCATGGCATATAGTAGATGCTCAATAAATATTGGCTTCTTCTCCTTAAAATTAAAAGTGATAGCATGCTATATATACTGTATCATTTAGCACTTTATAGTTAATTTAGGAATGTGATTTTTTAATCTCTTTTACTGCATTTCCAAGACAAATATAAACAATTTCTGGTATTCTTCTATACTTTCCTCTCCTTCACCAATGCAGTCTTTGATTAAACATATATTAAATGTATGCTGAGCACCTATTATATACAGCAGGTCCTATTCTTTTAGCAAAAACTTCAAGAAGTCACAGTTACACATAAATACACACACACACACACACACAGAAGGGCAAGAAACAAGACTAAAAGAAAGAATAGTAACAGGAAGACTAGTAAAGCAGAGAATCCAATATTAGTATGTGGGAACAGAGTGTACAGGGTGATTGTGACAGACTGAGTGGGGAGAAAAAGGAGAAAAGAGACAGAATGGTGTGAGACTAGAGTAGGATGCTGCCAAAGTAGTCACCAGATGCTAGTGCTTAATATAAACTGTACCAAAGCAGATATGCAAATATATTCTACATGATTTTTTAAAATTCACATTTCAAACGTTATCTGCCAACTATCCCGTGGGTAAAAATTAGATTAGGACTAGCACCATCTGGTGGATATTTTGGAAGTGACCCTGAGTTTCTCTAAATAAAAACACCTGTAAATGCCCCCATGTCTCTGGACTGCCATTTATAATGTGTTAAGGTTCCACATGACTAATTATACTACCGTGACGTGAAATAATCTTTCTGCAGGACCCTGGGTCTCGTTGCAAGAGGTAGCCAGATTTCTACCAAGGATCTTCCTATCTCCCACCTGACGTCGCTCTGCCTTCGGAAGCATGTATACAAAATCTGACACTGCAATTCTTCTTTTAAAGAGTAACATTACTTAAAATGTTCACATCCTTTGACCTAGCATTCTACTTCTGGAACTCTATCCTGAGGGGGAAAAAGTCTTAAATGAGAAAATCAATTAGTTATTCACAAGGCAGGGAGGGGAATCTAAAAGTCCAACAACAAAGGAATGGTCAAGAAATTAACAGCCATAACCAAAAGAATAAAATACCTAGGAATAAACCTACCTAGGGAGACAAACGACCTGTATGCAGAAAACTATAAGACACTGTTGAAAGAAATTAAAGATGATACCAACAGATGGAGAGATATACCATGTTCTTGGATTGGAAGAATCAATATTGTGAAAATGACTATACTACCCAAAGCAATCTACAGATTCAATGCAATCCCTATCAAATTACCAATGGCATTTTTACAGAACTAGAACAAAAAATATTAAAATTTGTATGGAGACACAAAAGACCCCAAATAGCCAAAGCAGTCTTGAGGGGAAAAAACGGAGCTGGAGGAATCAGACCCCCTGACTTCAGACTATACTATGAAGCTACAGTAATAAAGACAATATGGTACTGGCACAAAAACAGAAAAACAGATCAATGGAACAGGATAGAAAGTCCAGAGATAAACCCACACACCTATGGTCAACTAATCTATGACAAAGGAGGCAAGGATATACAATGCAGGAAAGACAGTCTCTTCAATAAGTGGTGCTGGGAAAACTGGACAGCTACATGTAAAAGAATGAAATTAGAACAGTCCCTAACACCATACACAAAAATAAACTCAAAATGGATTAGAGACCTAAATGTAAGACCAGACACCATAAAACTCTTAGAGGAAAACATAGGAAGAACATTCTTTGACATAAATCACAGCAAGATCTTTTTTGATCCACCTCCTAGAGTAATGGAAATAAAAACAAAAATAAACAAATGGGACCTAATGAAACTTAAAAGCTTTTGCAAAGCAAAGGAAACTATAAACAAGATGAAAAGACAACCCTCAGAGTGGGAAAAAATATTTGCAAACAAATCAATGGACAAAGGATTAATCTCTAAAATATATAAACAGCTCATGCAGCTCGATATTAAAAAAAACAACAACACAATCAAAAAATGGGCAGAAGACCTATATAGACATTTCTCCAAAGAGGACACACAGATGGCCAAGAAGCACATGAAAAGCTGCTCAACATCACTAATTATTAGAGAAATGCAAATCAAAACTACAATGAGGTATCACCTCACACCAGTTAGAATGGGTATCATCAGAAAATCTACAAACAACAAATGCTGGAGAGGGTGTGGAGGAAAGGGAACGCTCTTGCACTGTTGGTGGGAATGTAAATTGATACAGCCACTGTGGAGAACAGTATGGAGGTTCCTTAAAAAACAAAAAATAGAACTACCATACGACCCAGCAATCCCACTACTGGGTATATACCCAGAGAAAACCACAATTCAAAAAGACACATGCACCCCAACGTTCATTGCAGCACTATTTACAATAGCCAGGTCATGGAAGCAACCTAAATGCCCATCAACAGATGAATGGATAAAGAAGTGTGGTACATATATACAATGGAATATTACTCAGCCATGAAAAGGAACGAAATTGGGTCATTTGTAGAGATGTGGATGAATCTAGAGACTGTCATACAGAGTGAAGTAAGTCAGAAAGAGAAAAACAAATATCGCATATTAAAGCATATATGTGGAACTTAGAAAAATGGTACAGATTAAACGGTTTGCAGGGCAGAAATTGAGACACAGATGTAGAGAACAAATGTATGGACACCAAGGGGGGAAAGTAGCAGTGGGTGGGGTTGGTGGTGTGATTAATGGGGAGATTGGGATTGACATGTATACACTGATGTGTATAAAATGGATGACTAATAAGAGCCTGCTGTATAAAAAAATAAATAAAATAAAATTCAAAAGAAAAAAATAAAACAACAAAAAAAGAAAATTACAGCCATTATGATGTCTACCAAACATTTGTATTCATATGAAAACAAATATTTTAACAATTTCATATTAACAAATATTAAGCCAGAAAAAGCAAAAGCCAAAACTATGTGCATAATATGATCTCAAATATGTAAATAATATACATAGAAAAAAGACTAGAAGAAAATATTCTAAAATATTAACAGGATTGCTTGTAGTTGGGAAGATTATATTTTTTAAAAAATCATGGTTTGCACTCTTTCCCAAATGCTCTATAATTCACATACATTATTTCCTTTTTTTTTTTGGCTGCACCATGCAGCACACAGCATCTCAGTTCCCCAACCAGGGATCAAACCCATGCCTCCTGCAGTGGAAGCATGCAGTCCTAACCGCTGGACCACCAGGGAATTCCCATGTACATTATTTCTATAACAAATGTTATTGAAGTCTTTTAAACAATCCATATGTTCTGATTAATTGCTAGAAATTTTCAACCTCTGCCTGATTTTATTAATTCCAGAAAAAGATAATAAATCAAGTGAGCCAGAATTTCCACAAGAAGGGGAAGCTAGAAAAGAAAGCAAATATACTATAATTTTGTTCCAGGATCTGAGTACTGATGGAGAAATCCCCCAGTTGTCGAGCTGTACTGAAATTCCATTAATGTCATCACACTCCTCTCAACGGTACACCAGAAACTTACAGAGGGCTCTGCTGGTAGCAGGGGGTTACAGAGTCTCTTAACCACTTGGGTACCCATCTTCAGAGTCCCTAGAAGAGCTGGATCAGGGCCACCTTAAAATAGGAAGAGAAAGATCCATGCCAAAATACAGGTCAGGAAAAAAATTCCAAAAGTTAAACCAATTTAGAGGGGTCAGGTTCCTGCCCCAAGCCTACCCATTTAAGTCATCTGGAAGTATGAAAAATTAGGACCCCGGTGAGCAGGAAATCCAGCCCAAGATAGTATAATTACAACAGGGCTATCACAGTGGCATTTTTAATACTAGTGACTTAGGTTTTAATAGTAATAAGTAAAGACAAGTGCTTCCCTATCAGTCAAGCAAGAATGCATTTTCCTTCCTCCCTAAATGTATCAGTCTGTTGACAGAAGTAATCAATAAACAATCTATAATAGAAATAGAAAAGAGTTTTATTTGAACCAACCTGAGGACTATAGCCCAGAGATAGCTTCTCAGATAACTCTAAGGAACTGCTCTGGAGAAGCATGGTTTTCAGCACAGTTTTAAATCTTGTCAGAACAAAGAACATCAAACAAATCAGAGATTCGTTCCTTCAATCTTTCAAACAAACAGATCAGCATGTACACAGCAAGTCAGTATGGCCTTGGCGCCTGGGAAGGGAGTCTTATCATCGAAGGAGTAGCAGCATTGGTGTCCCAAGAAGGGAGGCATTTAATCTTTACTTTTAAAACATGGCTATTCTTTACTTCTAGTCAATGCACCCTTTTCTATAATGATTAAAGCAGATGTACAATGTATGTTTGATAAGCCACAAACAGGCTGTTATAGTTAGCACAAAATTCAAGTTAAACTATGTATAAGCCATAATGACTTTCCCATACCTCAATATGTGAAAATTTCTTCTGTTAAGTCACAGATCACAGGAAGGATTCTGAAGACGATGAGGAGAAATAACCGGGAGCTCTGCTTCTGGCTCACTCTTCCCTTCATCGTCAGGAATTCAGTTTTAACCTAGAAAGGCAGCACTTACATTCCAAGGCAGAAATTTTTATAAAGCACTTGAAGTTTATAAAGTGCTATCACCTATATCAACTTATTTGACCAGCATAGTAAACAACCCTTGGAAAGCGAGTTCATTTTATTACCCGCAGCTGACAGGAAACAGGCTAGTGTGTTGTTCTGCCAATTAGTAGTGCAGGCAGTGTTCTAGCCACCTCTTCTGAATCCACTTGCACTAAATGTGTGCCAGAGAACAGGCCTAGAATGGTGCCTAGCGGTGGTGGTGATGATCATGGTGACAGGCATCATTTGCCCACATCCTAGGAACTCTTCCAAGTGCTTTAAATTCTCACAAATACTCTAAGTAGTTGATACTATTATTTCCAACTATTTTTTGCGCTGTGATTCCATTTTTCAGTACTCTATCCATCTTAAGGAATCTTCCCTCTCAGGAACAAACCCGGGGGCCACCGTATTTGGAGAGGATGGTGTGCAGCTTGAGAACGGGAAGTCTTCAAGCTCCGAAAGTCTGAATCAAGAACTGCACACTAAGAACCTGCAAAGCTTGGAGAGGGTTCGGAACCTGAAACTTCCACCTCCTTCTTCCCACCACACTCTCGCCCCTCCGTTTGTCCCCAGTTCTGGTCTGGAAGCTCAACCGGTGGTAATAATACTTTCCAGGTAGGTACCCGCCACCTTTCAGCACCTACCTCTTAAATTGTCGATGTGTGGTTCCGCCTTTCTGTCCCCAGCCCTTCTGAGCACGGCCTCCTCCTGCTATAGCGTCGCCTCTGCGTGCCCGCTGCCATGGTGACGGCGGAGGCCTGCCCGGACCGGTCCCGCCTCCAGCCAACCGGAGCCAGCCCTGGTCCACCCGGGCTCCGCCCCATGCCTGCTCAGACCCCGCCCCCTGCGTGTCCAGCCCCGCCTCCTAATGGCCCAGAGCACAACCTCTGCGGGCCTTCACCCCGTCTCTTGCCGGCCCGGACGCCGCCTCCCGACTGCCAGAACCGCGCCCGCTGCCCGTCTAGACCTGCCTCTCGCTGGCTCGGACCCTGCCTCCTGATAGCCAGAACCTTGTCCCTCTGCCCGGACCCCGCCTCCTGCCGGCCCCGCCCCCGCCCTGGGAGCTCTGCCTTTTGTAGATGGGAACCTGCCGCCAGTCCGTGCAAACTACTGCCTCCGGGGCTCTACTCCGGCCGCAGCCTGTAGTGCGGCAGAAAGTGGCTGGCCTTCCCTACTACCCTGAGGCTGAGTGAGACCCGCTGTGCTTCGAAAAGCCCGCAGACCTCCACCCAAGAAAACACACCAGGCATGTTCCTTATGCGATTTATTGATCCTGACGGCTCTGCACCCGCGAGAGAAAACAGTCCAGCTAAAGGGAGTTTCTGGGCCTCGCAGTGCTGTCAGCATCTGTGACTTGACGTCCTTGTAATCGATGGTCAGAAAACGCTTGCTCCATGCCTCAGCCCCTGTCCTCATTTGTTTGTATAGGTCTGGGACCCTTGACCCAGCCACTGAGGAAATTGCCCAAGACAGCCCTAGAAGCTGTGTACGAGAGCTCTGAATGCTTTCCAGAGCACCTCTTCTTCTTCAGCTTTGGCGTTTAAGGTGTGTAGAAGGGATACCATCAAATTAACTCCAATAAAATCAGCTCAAGTGCAGATGCTTCAAGGGTAACCTGTTCTCTCTGCACTTTTCTAGAGAGCAGGAGCAAAGGTAGGGGGCAAAACCCTACCTTCCCGCACACTCAGCCTAGCCCCCTCATTTTGTAGAACTCCATCCACCCCCAGGTAACCCAAATACAACCCCAAGCTAATGGTGGCAAATAAGAGATAGGCTTAGGGAGAGCGCAACACTGGGGCCCTCAATTCCAGGGGCTCTGTAATTCTAAAACGTGTCTGCCATCCCTGGGCTGCTAGCCAGTTCCCCAAAGCAGTAGATTCTCCCCACAGCCATAGTGATGAAATGATGCAATCAGGTCCATCCTCCCCAGGGCTCATACTAGGGTCCCGTTCTTGCTGTCATAGCGGCGTGTGGACTGGGGGAAGTAAAGCGTCGCATACTCTGTAGCATTTTCTAGCTGTAGGTGCTTCACCTCCTGGGCAGAGCGTGTCTGGGTTAGGCTGCACACTTGAATGTCTGCATAGTGTAAGCTGCTCTCCTCCGACCTGAGGCCTTGACTCGTCTCCTGAGACACAGGCTGCTTTAACACCTGCTCATACGTACGTCCCGTTAGGTCATGGCCCTGAGAGGAATGGACAGCATTAAGGGAGATTCTTGACTTGGTTTTGCCCCTCACCTCCAACACAGGGTCTGTTAAATGACACTTTGCTTTGCTACTTTGGGGGATGGAGGAAGATGGGCAAAACCAGAAACTTCTACAGATGACTGAGACGTTTCTGTCCCAGGTTGGAAAAGCTGAGTCCTGGGATCCCATGTCTGAGCAGCCTCCTGGAAGGGGCGGAGGTTGTCATTACCTTTGTGCCATTCTGTTGCTGCTGCTGCTTTAATGTCCGTCTTGCTTGGCTCCCTGAGAGGAAGAAATCCGACTTAAATCCACCGACTTAAATCCATTTTCTCTTCCTGTCTCTACTGAGATTGCCTTCTTCAAATCTCTGTGAAATTATTATGGTGGGCTTCTAACTAATCTCCCTGCCTCTGCTCTCATCTCTTACTTCTACCATTCCCACATTCAAACTCCTTAGCAGAGTATACAATCTGGCCCTTTCACAGTCTGTCCGTAATATCTTCCACCCTATTTTTTCACTGGCCCCTAACATAGTTCAACAGGCATATGTTGAGAGCCCACTGTATGCCGGGCTCTGTGCCACATTCTGGGGATAGAAGGACGAGTAGGCTGTTTTCTCCTGTGCAGGGGAGCTTGCAGTCTACTAGGGGAGACAAGTAAACAGACTATTACAGGGCAATATGGTAAGAGCTCAGCTACACCAAACATTTGGTCACTTTCCATAAAGTCACTCTCTTCTCTTGTCTTTCTTTTCTCTGCATGAGATAATTTCCCGGCCTAAAATACCCTCTCCTCCCTGCTCCTCTTCCAACTTGTGAACTTGCTATTATTCCTTCAACATCGGTGTTTTCTCCCCTTCTCTCACAGCATGAATCTGGTGCTGTTGGGAGCACTAGTATAATACATGGTATTATGGTTACTTGTTAACGTGTATAATATGTGGTATTATGGTTACTTGTTAACGTGTATTTCTTTCTCAAACTTGATTTTCAGTCCCTCTAGGGCCGAAACCATGTGCCCTTCCTCTTGTGCCTCTCTGCCTCCTTGGAATCCTGCCTAATGCTTCACATACAATATAAGGGTTGAATAAATTTTTGCTAGATGAATGAAGGAATGAGCAACCAACCTTGCCACTCTGAGATAATGGAAAGGGCGAGACTCAGAGTTTCAGAGCTGGTCCTGAACACAGTAACCTAACGATTCTCTTTGGTGTACTATCTCCCTTTAGCCGTCCCCCACCCTATGCCCCTTCTAAAGACACTGGTTCTCTTATCTTCTTTTCTTAAATTTGCACTCCCCCTAGCATCCCCCACCCCACCCCCCCAGCACCCATTACCCATTTTCTTTTTCCTCTGGAAAGTTGATGGGCAGCTCCTGTGAAAGGAAAAACAGATCACTCATGTGTAAGAGCCTGGCCACTATCTTCCCTCCTTCATCATTTGCTCTGTGGTCTCCTTAGCATTCTGGTAGGATGACCTTCCCTCACCTCCCTCTAACAAAGATTCACCCTGAGCCAGTCCCAAAGCATTTATCAAGGGTACCATAGCTCTCCCAAAGGGATGGTTCTGGAAGATGGAGTGGTACAACTGACATAACCAAACCCAAAATACAGCCTCAGGCAACCAGGGGCTACATGCCAGGTATGTAGCTAGGTTGAGGGCTATTCTGGGATTGTCTAACAGGCTAATCCCAGCAGAGGGTAAGGGAAACTGGCCAAATAATGGGATATTCCTGGATTCAGAGACCCTCTTGCTTCTTCTCTGGTGTCTCTCCTTCAGGGTCTCTGCCAACCTGGGGTTCTCATTCTGGGAGTCACAGAAACTGCCACAACCAGGGCTGACTAATTAGAGCCCTGCACAGCCCTTTCCTAACAGGTGACCTCCCGCCCTGCTTTTTTGTCCTTGTTTTTAATTAACAGAGAAAGTGAGAGATGTTTAAGCTTTAACATCCATAGCACAGGAAGCTCTGAATTTGGTGAGTGACTCAGCTACATTGCCCTCCCTGCAGGACAGATCTCTTATACTAATTTCTGAGCCCCTGGGTTCCCCAACGGAGCCAGTGTGTCTACGTGATTGTCAACTGTTTGATGGCCAGAGAAACAACACTTGTCTGAGGAAATAGGCTGAATAGTTTGTGGCTTACTCCGGATGCTTTTTCTTGCTAGTACATTTCCAACTGTAACAGAGCCAACCCTATTTATCTGACTTCTGTCTCCCCAAGGAAGTTTCCTTCTTTTGCTAATTAAAAAGAAAGGGGGGGGACTTCTAAATCGTGTTCATTTTACTAATATAGGAAAATCAGGATTTTTCCACACATATCTGTCAGAGGTTTGTGTTTTGGTTTGATTTTTGGTTTTAATGCAGCTTGCTGAGCTGAGAATAATCTGAGTCTCCATTTGAACACTAGAGGTGGTTCAGAAGAAAAGCTTTGAGACTATTTCTGGGTCTTTCTACTTCCTCGTCTTCCACTTTAGCTCTTCCTTTCCTTTACCACTGCCTAGTCATAGCCTAATCCCAGCCTCTAATTCCTTGCCCCTGGTCACTACTGTCTTCCTACTTACTTCTACTTTAACAGATAAAGAGAATATTAATTCTAAAATAACGTAGACTTGGGTGACTCAATTTTAGTGAACAGAGCCTGTTCCCACGTTGGATGTTGCACAATGCCTGGACACGGCCCAAATGGAATATTCAGTTAGACTCGCGGGTGATAGGATTTTATTTTTAGCCCAGAATTAAGGAAACCAAATGGGCACTCTCCTATATTGGTAGTAGGAATAAAAATTGGTGCAGTCTTTCTAGAATGCAATTGGCAATAAGTATAAGAAGCCTTAAACGTAAATGCGTGTACCCTCCGATGTAGCAGTTCTAAGCAATAATCAGACAGGTGCAAATATGGATGCTCATTGAAGCATTATTTATAATTGCAAAAACTAGGAAATATCCTAAATGTCCAACATTGGGAACTAACTAAATAAATGGCATGTCCAATCAATGGAACATTATACACCAATTTAAGAAAGATGTTATGTTGGAAGAACACCTAATAGCATGGAAAATTTTCCTCTTTATTAAGATAATATAAAGGTAATATGTTTTGGGATAAAAACTATGTATATAGGTATTTAAAAAGGATTACATGGAAATACACTAAAATGTTCCTGTCATCTCTGGGTGCTTATATTTATGGTTGTTTCTTATTTTCTCCTCTTTGGTGCTTTCCGAATACACAGTGAATGTGTATTACTTTTGTAATCAGAAAAAAAATTTTTTTTAATAAAAATCTCAATTTTCACAGTGCCTTTAAGTTTCTGAAGTTTATTGAGATAATGAGAAATAGAGAAGAACAATATTTATCCAGTCCTACTAATATTTTAAGAGGAAAAAATATATTTTGGTTAGAATATCTGGTATAGTGTTTCTAGCCAGGCTCTAGAGTCTGATTGACGGTGTCAGACTAGCTGTATGACCTTTAGCAAGTTTTTTACGTCATTAGGCTTCCATTTTCATTTTATTTATTTAAAAAATTTTGGCCATGCCACATGGCATGCGGGATCTTGGTTCCCTGACCAGGGATCGATCCCAGGCCCTCAGCAGTGAAAGCATTGAGTCCTAACCACTGGACCGCCAAGGAATTCCCTCCATTTTCTTATTAATAAAATGAAGATAATAATAGAACTTAAGACTCATGGGATCATTGTAAAATTTAAATAAAATAATAAATGTAAAATACTCAGCTAGGTGTCTGGCATATAATGAGTGTCAGTCAAAGCTGACTACTATGACTACCACCATCTGAGGAAGAAATAACCAAAAATGAAAACTATGAAGACTTGGGAAGAAAGGGAAGAAAGGGAGTGAAAGATGCTTTACACCCCCTTCTCTGGAAGTTTTCATGTTTCTAGATGTCCCATGTCTATAGGACATCTCAGAGTTTAAAAAGCGCTGTTCTCATTTTATAGATGGGCCAACTAAGGCCCTAGAACTTTGGTACCTTACTCAAGAAGGCAAGAACCAAATTTCCTATTATTGCTATGTCTTCTGCCTCTATCACTATGCCTGATACACATAGGTGTTCAATAAAATATTTGTGTAATAAATGACTGAGTAGTAGGAACAGGACTTGAATCCAATGTACTGACTCCAAATTATATGTGCTTTTCAATGTACCTCACCTATCTCTCTAAACATAATGATACTTTATTCATAAACAGGACACCCTCAAGACAGATGCAGGCATGGAGTGGTAGAGCTAAGAAGGCAGTGGACAGGATAAAACTAGGCCCACGGGTTTATAGTGTTAAAAAGAAACAGGCCGAGACTTCCCTGGCGGTCCAGTGGCTAGGACTCTGCACTTCCACTGCACAGGGCATGGGTTCGATCCCTGGTCGGGGAACTAAGATCCCACATGCCAAGTGCAGTGTGGCCAAAAAATTAAGAAAAGAAAAGAAAATAAACAACAGGCCTCAAACGGTGTTGCTTGTGCTAAGCTCATACCACCAAACCATGGCTTAATACCTAGCCTAACAGGAGTTTCAACCTTCCCCAGGAATGTAGTCTTAAACGTCAGTTTGGAATTTTCTGGTCAGCATCAATGAGATAATCTGCCACACAGACCTTTTCCATCACCCAAAGGAAGACGAGGTCATCTGCTCTTCCCTTGATCCCTTCCCCCTTCTGCCTATAAAAGCCTTTCATTTTGTACAGCTCTTCGGAGCTCCTTTCTACTTGCTAGATGAGATGCTGCCCCATTCATGAACTGTTCAATAAAGCCAATTAAATTTTTAAAATTTACTTGGTTGAATTTTTGTTATTTAACAACAGTGATGACAATCCTGGGAAAGAACAATAAAGACAATATGATTCATTTATTGTGAGGCTTTCACATATAATCTGCTCTTCAAGTCCGTGATCTAAACAACACAGGTTGTGTTATCTACATATCACACATGAGGAAAAAGAGAAGTTACAGAATTTGCCTAATGTCACACAGCAAACAAGTGTGAAAGTTATATTCAAATATTGTATGGATATTCTCATTTCTGCCCTTTTATTTTATTATTAATTATTTTTACTTCTACCCTTTTTTTTTTTTTTTTTCGGTACGCGGGCCTCTCACTGTTGTGGCCTCTCCCGTTGTGGAGCACAGGCTCTGGACGCGCAGGCTCAGCGGCCATGGCTCACGGGCCCAGCCGCGCCGAGGCATGTGGGATCTTCCCAGACCAGGTCACAAACCCGCGTCCCCTGCATCGGCAGGCGGACTCTCAACCACTGCACCACCAGGGAAGCCCAGTTCTACCCTTTTAAATAAACATTTCTCCAAAGTTGATTTGCTTGATTCAGGAGGCAGTATTATGGCATGATTATAAGTATGGGCTTTGAAGTCAGATAAACTTGGGTTGGAATCTTGGTTTGTTTGCTTACTAGCCATGTGACCCCAGACAAATTAGTTAACTTCTCTGAATTTCAGCTTCTTAGCTGTAAAATGGGAGAAGGAGTAAGACCACATCCCTCAGAATTGTTGGGAAAATTAAATGAGATTATAAAGTTCCAAATGCTACAATTATTACCATTATCTGGAGGAGAAAGGAAGAGAATAAAGGGAAAGAGGAGGCAGAAGAAGACAAAGAGAAAAAAATGTCAATTTACCATTCCAGCCCTGTCCTAGCCGTTGGACAGACAGCTGGCTTGGCTGTTTTTTGAGGTTTCCTGAAAGGAGGGAGCACAGAAAGGGTGCTGCTCTGGTGTTTGCCCCCGGAGGTGCCACGTGGAGGAGGTGCCATGTGGAGAAGGTGACAGTGGGAAGTTGGCAGAGCACTAGCTGCAGGCTCTCTCTTATTCTTGGGACCTTCATGTCCACCAACAGAGACCTTACCCTCCGACCTTTCCCCCTACTCACCAGCTTCCCCCGCAGCAGAGCCGGTTTCCCATGGTGCTCTGTCTCCCAGAGAGCCCAGCTGTTTTGCTATAGATAGGGGCTTGTGCATTTCCTGGTTCCCGGTTCAGCTTTCAGTAGCAGCTCCCAGGGAGTCTCCGTCACGGTCAGATTTCAACCTAACAGGTTGGACTTTGGAAGCCACCTGCTGGAAAGATTCCCAGGTGACTGCTCCCAGCCAAAGGGTAGAGGAACACACAGGGGCTCCAGGTGAGAGCAATCTCACCTTCGGGATTTGGAGCTGCTTTGATGAAGCGTTAACTTTTGAGCTTCAAGCTTCAGTGAGAAGAAACCTGAGACAGAAAAGGGCTCTGGGTTTCCTTAGAAAATGTTTCTCTACTACTTCACACTGTCATTGAAATGTATCGTCTATAATGAAGAGTCTTACCTATGTTTCCCCAGCACTACGCAGGTCTAATTGAGTTTCACTTTCAAGGTAATCGGTGTCAGTCTCTTATTATCCTTGTCCAGAATCTGGGATTGAATACTGGACTCTTTGGGAAACTAAAATTTAGGGAAATGTATTCCTTTTGTATTCTCCCTTGCTATTGGAATTAATGTGGGCAAATCACTTTTATCGAGGACTGTAAAAATGGAGGGCTGAACTCATTACTTAATCCCCTTTCTGGTCAAAAATCATATGATTCTATGATTGGAATGGTCTCAGCACTTCTTAACCACTCACTTCCCCATCCCCAGTACAGAACTACAGAATCTCCATTTAACCTCAACTCAGCTTCTCCTCCAATGACCTGAAGCTGATTCATCCACACTCACTGGCAGCTAGGATGAAGTTGAGCAAATTCCTCTGTAGAAAATAGGGGATCTAGGAGAATTTGTGGAACCTGTATGGCTTGTCTTCAGTGTTCCCACCCCCTCTTTAGTGTCTTGTTCAGATGCCCAGTTATTTGTGTGTCCCTTATGGATGTTCAGGACCCAGCACTCAGCCCTCCACAGAGGGTACCCTGGACGCTTCATTCCTCCCCATCTTCTTTCCTTATGAAAAATGGAGATAATAAGAGTCACAGCCTTGTAGGATTGTGGTGAAGATTAAATGAGATAATATATATAAAACTCTAGTCCAGGGCCTGGTACATGGCACCCTCTCAGTAAGTCCTAGCTATTGTTATTATTATTACTTCTTTTTCTCAGCTAATTGTTAGATGGTAAAGCATCTTACTTTATTGTCTGGTGATGGATCATTGCACTAGCCTCTTATTTCATGGCCGTGCTTCTCCCTGGCAATCCATTCTGTACTCTACCATTAACTGTATTCTTTTCATCCTGTTACCCAAACTTCTTAGCTGGGCACTCAAAGCCCTCCACAATCTCGGTCCCTTTCTAGCTACTTTCTCTAATTTAAAGAAAAAATTTAAAGGAAAACATGTGAGATTTTTATATGACCAGAAATTCCAAAGGAACCAACTCTGTGTTGTGGTGGCCAGAAAATCTGATATACCCAAAGCACCATTAATAGAAGTCTAGAGTGATAAACAACGGTATTGATTATTCCATTGAAGTCTGTACCAGTCAGTCCATGATTGGAATAATAATTTTAGGTTTACATGTTGAATTTCAAGTTACAGTGTCAAGAGGCAGTGTATTGAAGAGAAAGTTGTCTGAGTTACAAGTGGTATGGAAAGTCCTATAAAATATGGTTAAAAGAATTAGGCATGTTTAGTTGGGAAAGGGAAGCTTTTGGAGGACAGGATGGTTACTTTTAAATATTTGAAGGGACTCTCAAGTGAAAGAAGGATTGCATTTATTTTCTGGACATAACCTGAACCAATGGGCAGAAGTTACTGAAATGCAGATTTTGGATCAATGGAAGGAAGAATTTATAACAGATGTGTCCAAAAAGAAAATGAAATGGGCTACCTTATGAAGTTCTAAGCCCTCGGTCACTGAAAATGTCCCAGAAGTTGGCGAATAATCTTCAAAGTATTTGAATGGGATGGGGATTTGGACAAAATCAGAGGTTTCAAATTTTTTTCTAGCTAAGGAACCCTTTCTTTTAAATGAAGCTCAGGTAAAAATTCCAACTACGAAACAGATCAAAGTGAAGCTGTTCTGGTTGAAGTCTGAATAGGATCCTTTTACAATTCTTTTTCTTCTCAGCTAGACGTTAAGATTCCTGAGAGTAGACAACAAAGGAGCATAGTTTTAAATTTATATTTACAATGTATAACCTCCATAGTATATTACTTGGGGTTTAATTTGTTGAATGAGTGAACAAAAGAATACATCAATAGTTATTTCTCTAAGGCATGCTTTAATTTTTAATAGATGGCAATCCTTTAACCAAGAATTGTATTCTTCAAGTGAGGGTTCTTATCCTGGGGTCCACAGATTCCCTAAGAGGGGCATATGAATGGATCTCAAGAGCTGTGTGAACCTATTCAAATTATATGCCAAATTTCGGAGCATGTGTGTTTTTCTGGAAAGAGGATCTATTGCTTTTGTCAGATTTTTCAAGAGGGTCCATAAAAAAAGTTAAGTATCAACCACTTTAATGGAAGAATTTCAGATGTCCATCACAACCTAGTAAAAGATATATTTGGGGGCAGGGAGGTCTTCTGGACACTCCTCAAAGCATACACATGCATGTTCTCTTGATTACAGAAAGTAATTAAGAGGTCAACCCCCCCACCCCCAGGCTCTCCTGAATACATCATACCCCTAGTATTAAGACTCTACTTCCAAAGGAAGTTTCTCTGGCCATCACCCCCATACCAATAACCCTAGCTCCCCTGCATTTAGACTTGGATTGGGTGGAGTGATGCAGCAATTCCTCTCTTTGGGATGTTTCAAGGTTAGAAACAAATGCTTTCTCTCATAGGCAGAGGGTTGGGAGGCTTTGTGATTTAGTGACAATGGCAGAGGCTTCTGTGTCTGTGCCCCTGTGTCTGCATACTCGATCCCTCGGAATCAGAGACCATTTACAGTGGACAGACCTTAGTATGGGAAACCAGGGCTTTAGGCAACTCTGCAGCCAAAAGCTGATTTCCCAACCCCTACCCAAAACAGGCCAGACAGTCTGGAGACCCTTGTTTTTGTGTCTCTAATCACCAGCTCAGACAGTGCCCTCTGGGCTGTTTGGATGGCATATCCCTTTTCCCTCCCAGGATCACTCTCTCTTTTGTTGCATTGTGAGAAAATTATGGCCAGGAATTTGATCTGGAGCCAGTGTCAGCTTCCAGGTGTGATCTCAGCATCCAAGTGTGAGCTCAGGGTGCTATGACATTGGGTACATCTAACTGAGGACCTTTTTGTCTAGCTGTCCTTTTTGTCTCCCTCCCTGCCCATCCCATCCTCCAGGCCACAGAATAGGGAGCAGCACAAATAAGGCCCTGAGATTTGGGTTTATTCAGCTCCACCCAAAACTAAATGAAAACACTATGACATGTCCCAAGGGACCAAACCATACATTGTGACCATGCACTTTTCCCTTCCCCCAAGGATGCTGCTACCTCTGGGGTGGTGAGCAGCTAGTCCTATCACCGCGGGAGCTAGAAAGGGTGCTGGCTCTGTGGCACTCAGGGCTCAACACTGGCTTCCTCCTCTTCCTCTGGATCAGGAGGTGCAGGGAGCAGGGAGATGTAGACCTCATTGACCTCTGTGTCCAAATGTCGGCCACCCCGAGGCGCCTCCAGGTTGAGGATGCCATCATGGGAGAGAGCAGCGCGGACCCGCCAGGGGTCAACATCAGCAGGCAGGACGTAGGTTCGGCAGAACTCTCTGGACACGAAGCCATGGCGGTCCAGGCGCTGGGGGTGCCGGGCAGACACCTCCAGTAGGTTGTCCACAGTCCTCACGGTTACCTCATCGGGGGTAAAGTGGCTCACATCCAGAAACGCCTGGAACTTGCCCTCACTGAGCCGAAGCTCAGAGGCCCCTGCCCTGCTGCCCTCCCCAGCTTGGGCAGCCCGGGGCCGGACATAGTAGCCATGGTAGAGGGTGGGGGTCAGGATCTCTTCTGGCAGGAGGCCTGAGGGGCAGAGAGAGAGAAGGCAAGAGGCAGAATGAGGGAGGATTGGGTGGGAAGGAGGGCGACATGAGAGCAGATCAGGAGGTGAGGCCTCGGGAGAGCTGGAGGGGAGTCAGGAGAAGCAGGGAAGGGGAAGGAGGGGTCCCAGTGGCTGGAATGAGGCGGCTGGGGAGAGGAGATTGAGAAAGGGAATGAGTTGGGATGAAGAAGAGCAAACCAGACAGGGTCTGGGTGGTTCGCAGGGGAGGCATCCCGAGGGGAGCAGGGGCAGGTATCAGAGCACAGCGGGCAGCAGTCCGCACCGAGGTCAGTAGGAAGGGAAGCGAGCCCTGCCCGGAGGGGGGTGAGGGGGGAGTCTGGGGTGGGAGACGTCTCGCCCCAGGAGTTCAGTTAAGCCCAGAGTGGGGTGGAGGCCAGTATCTTTGGGAGGTCAGCCCAGAATTTCAGCAGGTGGGGGTGGGAGGCAAGGGGGTGGCGTCCGTGCCATACCTTCCCCGAAGCGCTGCTCGCCCAGGCGGCTCGGGTTGGCAAACTCGTACTCGGCGGTGGCCGGGTGGGCATGTGGCACCGAGCGGCCCGACATGGCTGCAGACCCGCCGGCGGCCCCGGCTCGAGGTGCGGCCCCAGCAGGCGCAGCAGCACCCCTCCAGCTGCCGCAGAGCCCCGGCGCACTTGGAGGTGGGGGCGGGGTCTACACCACCCAAAATAGTGCCGAGCCCGGTGGGGGAGGGGCGGGCAGCGCCCGCGTCGAGTGTGTGACCCGCGCCGCCTGGACCCCCGTCCCCTCCGCTGCACACCCTTCAGCTGTCACGGGGGGCCCCCCCGGGGAGGACAGCTGGGGGTCCTGGCTACGGAGCGAGCTGGGGAGGGGAGGCTGGTGCCGGAGGCCCCGGAGAGACCGCGCTGAGACCCTCCCAAAGAGTTTGCACGTTTTCCACGCCCCTCTTCCCCTCCTCAGTGGTAGGCAGCCGGCGCTCTGCTTCATCAAGCTCCCCCGGATTTACTGTTCTGCCAGACCTGTAAAGTGAACGACGCAAACAACTTTCTCCCCTTTCTCTGGGGTGGGGTGAGGGGCCTTCCTGCCAAGGTTAAGGTCAGGGTCCTCTCTGAACCCAGGACGACCCAGGGCACCACGTGGAAACCTGCCGTTGACATGTTGGTGATCACTACTCTCCTTCAGGGACCCACAAAGAGTTAATAACCTTGGGCCCAGCCTAGGAAGATTCCAGTTCCTGCCCAGGCCCAAGATAGTCTCTGGCCGCATTCCCTTGGCATGCTAGGCTACAGGGGAGGAGGAGGGGCCCGCTGCCCGCCCGCCTGGGATTCCTGCCTCAGTCCCAGCTCCAGAGAAGGGGGGGGGGGGGCATGGGGTGCGGACAGAAAGCGAGTAAAACAAGACCAGGACAAGTCACTGGCCAGCTCAGGCGTGTTTGTATTTCTCTTTTCTTAGCTCAGTGAGTACTGGGTATGTGTCACACTGCCAAATCCCCAATCACAAGTCTCCATGAACGGGCAGTGAGCTGGGATAATAAAACCCCTGACATCACCATTCCAGAAGCTTCAGAAGACTGCGTATATAAGGGGCTGGCTGTAGCTGCGGCTGAAGGAGCTGACCAGCCAGCTGAGTCCCCACACTCACCTAGCCACCATGGACATCGCCATCCACCACCCCTGGATCCGCCGCCCCTTCTTTCCTTTTCACTCTCCCAGCCGCCTCTTTGACCAGTTCTTTGGCGAGCACCTGTTGGAGTCTGATCTCTTCCCAGCTTCTACTTCCCTGAGCCCCTTCTACCTTCGGCTGCCTTCATTTCTGCGGGCACCCAGCTGGATTGACACTGGGCTCTCAGAGGTAAGTCTCGCCTCTGCCAGGACAGGTGAGTTCATTCTGGAGCCTCCTGGAAGCGTCTCCATCCACTGTCCTTTTCCTCCTGGCCTAAATCTGACTAGGTCTAAGGGTTCCAAGTGTCTTAGGCTCTTGTGTGTCCTGCAGTGAAGAAAGATGAGGTCCCTAGTTCCTCTCTTCCCCAGTCACCTGTTTGTATTCGATGCACCTCTGTATCCTTATTTATTACATTTTCTCCATGTGTTATGAAGATCATTCTCTGTCCCATCTTCTAAGTAGGATGTCCCTTTCTGGTTTGGTTCATAATGATCTACAGGGAAGGAGCTGCCTTTGCTCAGACTCCTTTGCTCACCTCTTCTAATACCTCACACTCCTGACAAATACTATCATCTCAAGTTCCAGAGCCAGGAGGCAGTCCTACCTCATCCTGAGCTTTTCATCCCAGCTGCATGGAACTGGAGACAGCAGCCACTATTTTCTTCCTTTCTATTCCCTCTTCTATGATTTTCTGGGTTTCTCAGGGCTGTGACAGGGCACTGGCCTGGGTCCAAGCCTAATGAGGATAGAAGGTAGGTCAAGTTTAGGGACCCCCCTCCACTTGTCCTGAGAGGGTAGGAGAATGGGGCAAACAGATAAGATTGATAGAAGATGTCACAGATAACACTCTGGTTTAAAAATATTCAAGAGTGAGTAAACAGGAGCCAAGTGGGCAAGGGCTTTGGAAGGACAATCAGAGCTAGCAGAACATTCCAGATTGAGTGGGTGGGAAACTTGGCAGAGACCTGAGTAAGAAGAAGGGGCCTTTGTCTCACAGACAAATGACAAGGCCAGGCATTGGGTCAGAGAAGCAGCAGAAGCCATGCCCAGACCCATCCTTGTGATTTGTCCCCTGGGTGGTCTGTCTTCTTCCCTGTCCCTGTAAATAAAGTTTGGCCTGATGACCAAATGGTGTGCCTTGGGTACCACTGTGGTGGCACCCCTGAACTAGAGAGTCATGTTTATTCAAAAAGGGATCTTTAGCTAAAACGAGGAGGATAAACTGCCTGGAAAGAAAGCAAGTCTGCAGAATGAGACTGTACTAGTGTTGTTCATATTCCTACTATCTTTTGTCTTCCCCTCCCCCACCTTGCTATTTCCAGATGCGGTTGGAGAAGGACAGATTCTCTGTCAACCTGGATGTGAAGCACTTCTCCCCAGAGGAACTCAAGGTTAAGGTGCTGGGAGATGTGATTGAGGTGCATGGAAAACATGAAGAGCGCCAGGTACGTAGCTGACTTTCTCTTCTGCTCATTCATCCAGCGAGTACTATATGCCAGAGACTGCCATCAGCCCCTGAGGCTGGAAGCATTCCAGTCCTAAGCCATAAGAGTCAAGAACAGGGATAAACCTGTTGTTGTTATTGTTGTTGTTGTTTTGGCCAGAGAAGTGATCTTTGTTTGTTTTGATTTGATTGCCTCAGATGGGATAGATGGGATGTTAACTTCCTGTTTAAGCCAGTGGTTCTCAACCTTGAGCACATTAGAATTGCCAGGGGAATTAAAAAAAAAAAAAAAATTCCCAGGGCTTCCCTGGTGGGCCAGTGGTTGAGAGTCCACCTGCCGATGCAGGGGGCATGGGTTCGTGCCCCAGTCCGGGAGCATCCCACATGCCGCGGAGCAGCTGGGCCCATGAGCCATGGCCACTGAGCCTGCGCGTCCGGAGCCTGTACTCCACAACGGGAGAGGCCACGACAATGAGAGGCCCACGTACAGCTAAAAAAAAAAAAAAAAAAAAAAAATATCGCAATGCTTAGGCATATCCCAGGTCAGTTAAATCAGGATTTTTCAAAGCTCCCTAAGGGATTCTAATGTACAGTTAGTCAAGGTTGAAGACCACTGATTTAGGAGTAGTGGTTGTCAGACATCTGATCGCTTTATATAATTACATTAACTGCATGCACTCAGAAGCCCCTTGAATTTGAGACTTTTCTTTCAGATGTTTTGGAATTCACTTCTCGTTAGCCCACCTTAATGCTGAACTACTCGCTTTGCCTAAGCTTCAGAGCTCTACTCACCTCCTAATACCCTAGACCCATGTGGAAATCAGTTGAGAGCCTGTCTGGATAAATGCTTGAGATTCAGCAGGTGTAAAGGTTAGGGTCAGAATTCTTTAGCCAAATTCTAGAGAATGGAATAGCTTTTCATTACTTTCTGGGAGAGTTTTTCAATGAGTTTGCTTCCTACCAAAGGCAGTGAAAGTGCGGAGTCCTTACCACTGGACCGCCAGGGAATTCCCACCTCAGAAACTTGTGCATCAAAGAGTATAGTGTGAGGTCCTCAAGCTGTTTCAGTTTTGCTTGTATGATTCAACTCTAGATCAGAGCCTCCCTGGAGGGAGTCTTCGTTGTTGTTGTTGTTATTATTAGGTCTATTGGTCTGGAACCTTCTGGAACATTCCTGAAGAGTCAGGACAATTTCTGGGTTTCCTCAGGGACTCAAATCTTCAAAGCCAGATGATATTCCAAATCGTGTAGGCCCAAAAAACATTGATCTAAACCTCTGGGAAATACCCCTGAACATGTCCATGCCTGAGGGTTTAGAGAGCTATGAAGTTTTGGCGGTTCAGACTTCTCAGACTCTCATTGGTAGGAGTGACCACCTAGGCAATTTCATCTTACCCCAAACAGAACAGCTATTTAGCTTTCTCTCATGTTGCCATGCATTTGGCCGCACGTAAGGGGAAGGAGGATGTCTGAGTTCTAGGCAAGTGATGCTATTTCCTGTTCTTATCTCTCTACCTCTTTCCTTATTCTCTTGGATTAGGATGAACATGGCTTCGTCTCCCGGGAGTTCCACCGGAAGTACCGGATCCCAGCTGATGTGGACCCTCTCACAATTACTTCATCCCTGTCATCTGATGGCATCCTCACTGTGAATGGACCAAGGAAACAGGCCTCGGGCCCTGAGCGCACCATTCCCATCACCCGTGAAGAGAAACCTGCTGTCACTGCAGCCCCCAAGAAGTAGATGCCCTTTCTCTAACTGCATTTTTTAAAACAAGAAAATTTCCCCACCAGTGAATGAAAATCTTGTGACTAGTGCTGAAGCTTATTAATGCTAAGGGCAGGCCCAAATTATTAAGCTAATAAATATCATTCAGCAACAGATAACTGTCTTGTGTTTGAATATTTTGTAATAATCATCACATATGATTTAGGGAACTCCAGGAATATTAGAGTCAGAATGACTGTTTCCAGCGTTTACTCATGGGATAAATTTAGCAAGTCACTTAAGCTTTATGGTCTTTAGGTCTTCCATTTATAACATGGGGTACTGATTTGTACACTAGTTGTAAGGAGTAAATTAATGAGAAAAAGGAGGTAAAGCCCTTAGCAGAGTTCAAGGAATATTAGTTCCTCTCCTCCCTCTTTGATTTTGGCCATCAGTTCCAATAACAAACCTGAATGAGGTCTGGATGACAATGCATAAAAGGCCCTAGTGCGTCTCTGGAATTAATCATGTCACCAGGGAGGAGATGGTGTCCTCAACTTTGACATTTTGCTACTGATAAGCATTGCCTTCAGCTGATTCACAAGGTGGACAGGTGATTATCACAATAGGACAAGTGATTATCTCCAAACAAGCCTCTCAGGTGTAGTCCCTTAATTAGCCAGTAAACACCTATTAAAACTAAGACTGGGGAATATACAATCCATTGACCCACAATTTAAAAAGTTTAACTTTTGTTTTTTATTTATTTTTAAATATTTATTTAAGCCACTCTGGGTCTTAGTTGTGGCATGTGGGATCTTTAGTTGCAGCACGTGGGCTCTTAGTTGTGGCATGCATGG